CGCCGACTCAGGGCGACTCACACCGAGTCACACCCACTCAAACTAGCACACGCCGACTTGTTCATCGACTCACAACGACTCACACCGACTCAAATCGTTCCACGCCTAGTGACTATGACACACACTGACTCACATCGACCCACAGAATTAAGCCGCTTCACACTGATGCACATCGACTCACACAAACTCAAAACGACTTATGGCGACGTCCACCGCCGGCCCGACAACCTCGCAGAACGTCCTGTCCAACCACCGCCAGACTTGCCGAATACAGACCGATGCAATTCGTGATGCTGATGACCACTTCATTCAACCTTCTCCGCGTGTGCTCGACCATCCCTCCTGAGGATCCAGAAGGGATCCAGAAGGGAAGAAGGATCTTCGGAGCGTCACGCCAACACATGGCTTCTCCGGCGTCCGTTCCCCTCCGGAAACCGTTTCGTATGTGGACGGAACCGGGGAGCTGAGGACGGGAAGAGGGCGAAGAGGGGGAGAGCAGGGGAGGACAGGGGACAGAGGAGAGCCCAGTGCCGACCAGCTGCTGCCGCCGACGCAGGTGCATCCTGTACTAGAGCGGACTTCCTGCAATCGCCGGAAGTGGGCGCCATAGGATGGCGTCCACACTCCACAGGTATGCCACTGTTAGTGTTGTCAGTTTCAGAAAATATATGTCCAATGTCCGTCCAATTTCCAATGCTTACGTCGATTGTCCGTCCAAAAATGTCCAAGCCAGCCATTTGTCCAAAGATGTCCGATACCTACGCAATAGTTTACACTCAACACAGTTATTTAATTTGTTTTAAATGCACTATTACCAGCTTTAATGTGTTAATCATCTCAAAAGCTGAGCTTTCTATTCGCCAATCAGTGTTCAACACGATTGCTTTATAAAAATGCTGAGGTGTAGCAAGTGATTGTCCAAAGTTGTCCAACGCCTGCCGTCATTGTCCAACCGAATTCCGAATTGGACATTGGACAAAATCGGAATTCCAAAGATTCAAGTTCCGATTGACACCACTAGCCACTGTGCCCTCCCCCTCTATAAGTGCCATCGGTTGACGTTCACCTGTAGCAGTGCCCCTCCCCCTCTCCTTCACCTGAAACCCAAAGTGACAGGTGACCTAGCTCAGCCAGCGAAGACCTTCACCTGAACCCCGGAGGGAAGCATGGAGACAAGTGACCTCACTCAGTCGGCGAAGGCCTTCACCTGACCCCAGGGGAGGGAGACACGCAGACAGTTGACATGCCTCCGGCGTCACAACATCTCGGCACTGAGGCGAGTAGACTAGCCCGGGCGCGGAGGCATCCATCAGCGGACTGTCTCACCGCTCACCAAACACCGGCGAGAGTCGACCGTCGAAATGGGGAAGGGAAAAGGGACGGGGACGGGGGAGAGAGGCACGACAAGAACTGGGGGACAGGGTGGCGAAGATGACTGCCACCATCAGGTCTGTTGTCACGCCCGCCGTCCGTAAGCACGCCGCGGCGCGCTCCCCCGTTCTGCTACGCCTGTCCAGCGGAGCCGGGCGGTGCCACTTCCATTCCAGAGGCATTTCCGGCCCCCTCGCGGCTGATGAGGAGGGATGGGAGGAGGGGAGGCGAGAGCCGCTCATGACCCTGAGCCGACAGGCTCGAACTTGACGTGTCGATGTTTCAAAACGTCCAAACGGGCCAATTTAGATGGAATACAGTCATCCCGGTGGCGCCCGGAGAAGTTTGTGAAATTCCATGGTGAAATTAGAGCCGACAAATGAGTATCGAAAACGTTATTACGAAACCCAACCATAAAAGCAGTAACCATGTGTTGAACATTGAGTGTAGAGGGCCAAGAATGTGATAATCTTAGTATCGTCTTATGTTGTTCCAGATTTCGGCGGAAAATACCGCAAAACGACGTGCAACGGAATCTGGCGGAACGACAACAAAGGTGGAGTGGCGCACGGGGCACGTGCAACTGCCGGCGTCTGCAGCGGCGCGTGACGACGGCGGCGGCGCAGCGGAGGTGGCGGCGGGGGCCCGCTGGCACCGGATGTGGCGGCTGCAGCGCCGCACAGCGTGGGAACGCGGCACGGCGGCGTCTTCCCAGCCGCTCACCTCACATCACCTGACTCACCTCAGCACGCTCACTTCACCTCAGCTCACCTCCGCAGAGGTGCCGTTCGTTGCAGACACGGTCGGCTGCGGCAACACTGCGGAATGCATCCACCGAACGCCCTAACACCATTCGACAAAGGACAAAGCGCCTGTCAACATGACGGTGACGGCGCGGGCTGAGGAAAGAAATATGGAGACGCGACCATCACATTCTACAAAACGAAAGGGTTTCTGTGCAACGACGCGCCGGCATCGTATCAGTAATAACTAGTATCCCCTATCAGCAAAGGCATGTTCTTGGAAACCTGTCGCGCAGTTGATGGAAATGTGAGCACCACTAAGAAATGCGACACCGTCAACTGGGCCGTGTCGTCCTTGCCGACTTGTTTTGACCAGTCCAGTCCTGTGACAGGGCAGCACCCATGGACGCAGGACGGGGCGGGGGCGGGGGCGGGGGCGTGTGACCGTACCGGCCCTTGCTCAGATTTCATCGGTGGCTGTGCGGTGAACCAGCCGGCCGATCTGATCAGAACCGGGGCAGGGAGCGCCTAACGATCCGTCAGGAATTCCACCGGAACCCGACTGCTGCCGGCGTGGGAACCAGCCGCGGGTTACACCAGGCAGTGGCGACGCACAGAGCTCTGCGTCAGTGGGTTGTGTTCGTTCAGAACTCAGACATCACATCACATAGATCCCACACTTTCAGGCCAACTCAAGCATTATGCTCAGCACGGGCGGTGGTCAATTCGCAGCCCCTATAAATCAAGACTCGGATAGTTAACGATGTTGCTGGAACATTCACACCTCGACTGAGAATCAGCGAACACTGGCCGCTAGTCGAACGTGTTTCCGTTAGTTCACCGTTGCACGGTAGGCGATCGGGCCGGTCTAGCCTCGCGAAACCTCAAAGACACTTTTTTCCGAAAATTGGAAAACAACGCATACTAGTCGACAGAAAATTCATCGAAGATTACGATCAGTGCATTTGCATGGTTCAGGAGACATTTTTTCATAGACAAAGGTATCGTTAAAGACAGCGTTCCGTAACACTTCATAAGGGGGATAATCACAGCCGATTTTTACGCTCTTTGAATATTTTGCGGAACGATGAAGTTGCTAGGTGTTGAGCATCCATTTTGCATGGAAAGTGAAATTTAGATGTTTAGACGATTCCACCAGAGAAAGCAAATAGACAAAATCAGTTCAAAATGTCTTATAATTAGGTTAACTTTTTTATATTTTTTCTACCACTGAACATTACGTTCACTGAATTAACCAAGCCCAGCAAAAAAAGTTTTACGAGGATGAACTGAAAATAATGCTGTATCGCATGCACTAAGACACTATCTATCAGGGGAGCCAGTGAAAATTTGCAGCCACTTGCAGCCCTGGCATCCAGACACCTTTTTCTTCTAAGGATTGGCCGTGGTTTGGTGCACTTGAGCACAAGTGGTAAATGCCCCAAAGGGTGTTTTCGCGATAGCTCAAAACACCCAGGCAATAGAGAGCTGCAACTTGGCATACCTGACCTTTGATGCATGCCAAATCTTGTGACACCAACCGCACTTTCAAGTCAGGTCAGGTCACTGACCTATGACGTCATAAATGAACCTCTGCACGATCCTCAGATGTCGCAACCTTGCAACGCTCTCAGTGCCAGAGTAACTTTCACAGGGAGGTGAGACTTGCAGGACTTCTTGTCCTTTAGAGGTCTTACAACTTTTTTATCTCAGGTTTTTCCTAAATGTCACATAAAGTCAGGTTGGTCACGTGATCTCACCTATAAGTCAATCGGGGAATATGAAAACTGTTATTTTGGCGCCAGGAATGATATTCGATTGTCTCAAGTACATGGAATCGTTACTTCATGCACTCCTTGCAAGATCTGATGCTGCATTTTTCCATTGTTGACCTTGCATGACGTCATTAATGACGTCACTAGGGTCATGCGAGTTTTTCGTCAATAACTCCCGATCAAATTGAGGTAGAGAGTCGACAAGGTCACCAATGGACTCCGGAAGACCTGCCGAATCGAATGATATGCGATATGACCTCATTCGACCAACTTCGTGATTTGAAGACCTCTGACCTGACCTTGACTCGAGGTCAACAGGTCAACACCTTACGGTGGCCTCACCTGAACCAAAAAGTATACCATTCGACGCGCCTGAGCAAGGCGAACACGACGATGTCAAAATCGTGGTTCTGCGGCCATTTTTTGCGAAGTTATTTACCAAAAACCAAACCCGCTGCTTTGGTCACGTTATGAAATGGGGCCTTGCCGGGCGAGATTTACGCTGTTTCATGGTATGTATAAATTGGTAGGGCATAATCGTTTGAATAAAAAGTTGGCTTGGAAGCAATTTTCTACGGAGGTACACACCATTTCGATGTCCTACCCAGCTCATATCGTCATTAATTTCGACCTACCCTCAAAAGTATTCATGCGTTATTCGAGCGGCAATTAGGCAAATTGCAAGCTCGCCACAGAGCACAAATCCTAAAAGAGATAGTCCTTATTTAAAACATATGCTCATTGGATATTCAAGAAGGTTGCTCCTAAATATTGTGGTTCTAGCTTCAAAAATATGGATGTTATAAATGCCGATAGGTTTCGCGAGGCTACACCGGCCGGATCGCCCACTGTGCGTTGGCGGAACCACTAATGGGGCGTTCCACGAGAAGCTCATATAGATGTCGCTGCTAGTCAAAGCCTCAAAGTTTTTTTGCGCAGATGTTCCAAATGCGGCGCAGTCTTATCGTGTTCATTTTTACTTTTTTGTACTGGAGCTGCTCTCAGTTGCCATTGTAAGCGAATCAGTTTCATGGAAATGATGGCTGACTGACGCTGGGAAGAAATTTCGAATATAATGCGTATGTCTTTCGAACTTGAATCTGAGTAGAGTTTGAAGTCGGGTTTATCAGATTGTGATTGAGCTTGTTGAAAAGACGATCGGAAGCGTTAGATAAAAGCGTTAGAAGGCCTTGGATAAAATAAAGAAGTCTGCAAACATGGTTGGCTGCTGTGTTCCTGGATGCAGTAGCACTGTTGGAGGGCACAAAATACCACGTGAAGAGAAGGTGAGCCAAGTGAATAACCCGGTTACCACACGTCATATAACATATTCAATGTTTTTATGTCCAAATGGCAAGGTGGACTTGAAATTTTGTCAGAGGTTTTAGCTCATGAAATGCATCAGTCATGTACATGGGTGGATAATGTGGCATGACAGGTGTGGCATGACCCAGACCACAACATTGATGCTAGGCCACACCGAGATGTTCCTCGCCACACTGACACCAACTTTTGAAACCATTCACCACCAAGGGCTATGTGTACAAGAAATTGGCATATGTTTGCTACTGATACAGCCTGAAGGGCATACCTATCATGGATTGATCATGTGTAGTATATCATGTCGGCTGCCTGCCATTTAAGTATGCCATTGCTGAAACTCCTTTTGAACTTTCCACAGCCTTTTGGCTTAAAGATGTCTCACTGAGGCCGTAATGTCTGTTTTCACATGCAACTTGCACATTCTTATAAATTGGTCTTGATACCCTGACCTGGAAATGTATTAACATGCTTGCTTGCACAAGTAATGCAAATGTAAAGCTATTTCTTCAGATCTCACATAAAGACATTGCCACATTTTACATGACTGTTTTTACCCACCACAGCTCCGCAAGACCTGGTTGGTGAAGATCAGGAGAGAAGGTTCAAAACGAGGATCTGTGTGGAAGCCTTCAGCATCATCTGTAGTTTGTCGAAAACACTTCACACCGAATGATTATATGGAGCCATCCTGGACATCCAAGATGGCAGGAATTGGTAAGTAAATAAACTGTCAACAAAAAAACAATTTTCATTCAAAGACAATTTGTCATCTAAGCATGGGATTTCAAATCTGGCACTCACTTTCAACATTTGCTACAGGTACCCATGTTTGCTTTTTCATGTTGATGAATCCGTATTTTCACTTATCACTTTTTATGTGAAGAAATGTAACTTAACATGTAATCCAGCATAAGCAATCCTACACTAGCCTTGCCTCAGTAGGTACCTATTCTTTCTTTTTAAAATGCAAATCAGGACACAATTCATTTGAGAACAAAGACATCCATAATCAGTAACTTCATAGATTGTTAAGGAATGCAACACAATTCAATATAAAATATCACACCAAGGTCAATAAATAGCAATTCTTTGCCAGGTAGTTTATACCTATTAACATTTCACCTTTGATATTGTGTTCATTTTGATGCATAATCTAACCACAATTCCTCCTATTTTGCTTTCAGTCAGGAAGCAGCTGAAAAAAGATGCTGTCCCAAGCATTTTCCCATGGACTTCTGCAAAGAATAAGGTAGAAGTGCAGAGGAGAGCCAGGAGCATACAAAGACAGCACACATCTAAACAAGAAGATGTTGCTGAAGAGCCTGATGCAACTCTTGATAGGATAGGCAACTTTGATACAGTTGAGGAAGTTGTTGCTGAGAATGACTACCATGAAAATGCTGAAGTCGCTGATGAGTCTGCACCTCAACCTGAGCGTGCTGATAAATCCGTGCAAGCAGAGCAAAGTAGCGTGAACTTCTCAGTAGACCGCTTCAGTAACAATGACAAGGCCATCAAGTTCTATACCGGGTTTGATAGCTTCGAACACTTTCAGATCGTATTTGACTGCCTGGGTCCAGCAGCGCATAGGCTTCAATATTACCCGGATGGCTCTGCTTGCACGGTGATCCCTCCTCTAGACTGTTTCTTCATTACACTGGTAAAGTTAAAGAGAAACAAAGAACTTTTCGAACTGAGCATGATGTATGACGTGTCAGTCTCGCTGATATCCAACATAGTCATCACATGGGTGAACTTTATGTATCGCGAGTTTCTGGACATGGGACTAGGTTGTGGGTTCGGGGCGGGCCGCAGCGAGGATTCAGGGATCACAAAGGTGATTATAGACTGTACAGAGGTAGCAACTGTGAAGCCTGGAAACGTGATCGCGCAGCAGGCCACGTATAGTACGTACAAATCTACAAACACCATGAAGACACTAGTGGCAATAACACCCTCGGGTATCGTAACTCACGTTTCCCAGACATATGGTGGAAGCACCAGCGATAATGCGATAGTGCAGGAAAGCGGCTTGTTGGAGAGCCTCGGGCCGGGAGCGGAGGTCATTGCTGACCGTGGATTCACTGATCGCTGCCTCGCCGAGTCTAGATCTGTGAAGCTTGTGACCCCAGCCTCGATGAAGGGTAGAGGACAGTTACCGCCTAGCGAAAGAGCCGCATCGGGGGCCCTGTCATCTCGACGCATACACGTGGAACGTGTTATTGGGTTAGCCAAGACCTACGCTATTCTACGTGGTCGGATGTGTGTATCCCAGGTTAAGCTAAGCACGGAAATAGTGTACATCTGCTTCATGCTCGCCAACTTCCGAAGGAATATAGTGAAGTAAGCGTACCACACTCCAGTGAGTCGAGAGGTTCTGAATGTCCTAGTGTCTACCTATGTATGTCTCTGACTTACTATGTTCCGACAGATCAATGAATACACGTCTCATATTACATCAATTTTTGCAGTTTTCAGAAACGTGTAATACAGGGACGCATACAGGCGCGTGTAGTAACAGAGTTGAGCCGAATCTCAAATACCAGGCAGCCGCTATTACCCTTGTTGCTGTTACCCGCGGGTGTGAGATCAACGATGTACCGTAACTTAATTGTCCGTGTACATTTGTAAAGAGCATTGTTGCGTTTTGATAACCCATGACCGAACAATCAATTCCTATGAAACGACATAAAACAAAGGAGCGTTCAGGGAATGCTCAATGTATTGTGACACATTACAGCACAGGGAAAATATACATGACCACCGAACACAACACAAACAGGGATATCCCTTTTTTAACCAATACACCTTGCATTGAGGGTCATTTTCACGACGAGAGCAATGAACAGAGCAAACGACACTTCACAGAGACGCGGAAGTCCAGCTGCCGACGAATAGACATGGCGCGTCAAGTCACGGTTTTTGACGAGCCAATGCATCTTCACAGTAAACACGGATTATGTACCCGACACCGCCCAGTGCCCTTCACAGATCACGGTAAGACACGCTCCCCGGTCGGGGCGCACCTTCATACATAAGCATGTCTAGATATGCCGGACCCCAGCCCGTCACACACGTGGCTGAGACAAGATCGCTGGCCCCCGCCCGCGCCGCCTCGCACCTCAGTGCGACTTTCCACGCGAGGCGGCGCCCCCTGACCACCGGCCAGTCCCGCGGGCCAAAGGCGGTCCGCGCGACAGGCCGGCGGCCCGGCCTGCCCTGCTTATGCAGGGGGGCCGGGCACGGGTTAGCCCGGATGGGGTAAGGCGGGGGCCACGGATCAAACGAGGCGAACAGGGATGTACCTATTACTATTAAAGCATGTACCAACACTTTGTGTACGAAAATGTTTCACTTTCTTTGCCCTTTTGGTGATTGATACACAAGTTTGACATTCAAACGGGCACGCTGCAAGCACAGACAGAGCGCTAAACGGGAACGCGCATGCGATGCTTAAAAGTAAGTAAGAGCCAGCTCCTCATCTATGTCCATGGATGATGGCTTCGTTATCCCAAGTTTAGCAGACAGAATTGCTGGCACCATATAGGTGTCGTAGAAGGATGCCAGTTTGGGCAGAGCTACGTTGCGGAAAGTTGCTGTATCAGCAGGGACACTGATGATCTTTGTATCAACTTTTGTGCACACTACAAAGTCACACTCGACTTTGTCGGTGCAAAACATCTGCGTTTGGACTTGCCACCAGTATGGGGACGACCGCTTGAGCATGAGAGCTCCTTCTTTGATCTCGATATGCGAGTAGTTCGAGGGCGATATAGCACTTTTCCTTATACTATAGGGACACTTTACCTCGATCACTTTATCGCCCACAATGCCATCGGGCGATGCTGCGAGGGCTCTTAGCTCTGGATGTATGACGAGCCCGCTCTTCATCACCGCACACCCAGTGAGTTCCTCGTACCGTTTGATTGCTTGGGGCTCGAAATTTCGTCCCCACGTTGTCGCCGCAAACCGTGGAGCTCCTGTTCCCGCGACCAGGGCCGCAGCCAGCTGGTGAGGGTCGCGGGTTTTCATGTTGACAATCGTCGAGACATTCGACGCTGTGATCCGCAGGCTTCGCTCTGCGTGCCACAGTTTGCTGGTCGTCTGACCTCTGGTGTGCTGCTCGACTGCGCCGACATCAGTATCCTGCCAACGAAAAATTCAACTCAGTGTCAGTGAGCTGATTTTTTGTCTCTCCTTCCTGTCATATGGGGCAGGTACATGTGTACATATGTACCTACATTCGTTTCCTGCGTGATAAACACACTTTTGAAACAAACAGAGACTTTTCAAGATAATACTTATTGAGTGGTCAAAATCCAGCATTTGTTGTTGGCTTATGTTGTATATGGAAAAAGGCTATGTTTTTTTCTTATTCCAGGCAACAGAATAGTTATAAAGATATTTTGCATATAAGTTGTCAAATGTCTTTGAATAAGCAATAACAACGAACAATACAATATTCAATGGTGACTATCAATAAATTAAACCTAGGCCTCATTACCTTCAGCTGCCTGAAGAGCCACTGGATGTCCAGCGGAACATCAAGATAATCATGGTCTAGCATGATTGCCTCCCAGTTGGCTTTGTCATCAAAACCTTGCATGATCGCCATTTGTGGCCCAGACTTGTTAGCATGGTAATTCAACAGCAGAGATCTCAGCCTGGCTTGTTTCTCCGCCTTTGGCACGTTTCTGTCATGCTCTTGTCGTGGGTCGAATACAAATTCTCCAGAACCACTTGCATGATGTTCATCACTTGAGGATGCCTGAGACACATTTAGTGGCATATCTCTTGAGGACAGTGCGCACGGAGCCACTCTCACCCTCTTTGGCTCATGCCACTTTTGCTGTTTTTGAGTCACACTTTTCCGCACCAAAACTTCCCCTGTCCTGCCTGCATGTTCAATGGCATAGAGCACAGTTGCAACATGTTTACACGTAGCATGAGGCCCTGCACCTGCAGGACACTCACAGTGGCAAAACTCAACTGAGCCACCATGCAGACGGACATATGCATAGTATGTCACAGTCTTCGACATTTCTGCATGGACATGTGCACGGAAAAAGTCTGCCTCACCATTGCGTGCATGAAGTAGGGACAGAAGGAACATCTCATGAAGCATCTTGTACCCAGCCTGATTTTCCACTTTCATTCGGCTCACTGACTGACTGTGTGAAGCAAAGAAAAAGCTGATTTCTACATTTGTCAGACTTTCCTGCTGATTTCCATCATACATCTTGAAATCAGTAGATTGAGGCCAAGCAGCTGAGTCAGCCCGTGTTGGATCATTTTCCTGGTTGGTTTCTGATTCACCAGGGACGTAAGACGCAGAGTCCAAAGTTTGAAGTCTGAAAAAAAATATTCAGTATGTTAGGGAAAAATGTTCCAATGAAAGTGAAAAAGAGATGCATCACAATTTGATAACACGACATATGAAAAGAAACCTTTAACTTTTTTGAAGAAATGGAGAACTACAAAAAGTTACAATGATAACATGCCTTCTTTACTCTCTTATCTCATTATCCATATTTTTCACTTAAAGACAGGTGGAAGCTACATGCCAAGAGCACGGTTATGCTACATATGATGCAGTTTGTCCATTCAGATAATAGTTTTAGCCTTTAGGGATCACTACTCATAAGGATTCTTTATGTAGCTGTAGGTGCCAGGTGGGCATGACCTGCCAACTGGGCCCCTCATGCCAGGGGCCCCAGCCAGAAAATTCACCCGAGATGGGCCCTCCCAGGGGTTTCATTCACCATCAATTTTTAGATGGTCTTTGGCAATCTTAAAATTAAGGGCTCGTTTGATTTGAGGACCCATTAGGGGCCATCTGAACACATTTGAGGCAGGCCCCCAAATCCCAATTTAAATGGGCCATGGGGATGGCATGCCGCATGGGCCCTTACGCCCTTACTTTGTGAGTGCCCTTGCATCAATGGGCATAGCTAGAATCTTTGAAGGGATAAACATCATAAAATAAAACATACTCAAATAAACCTTACCTCTGCACTAGAGCCGATTTTCGACCAGACGTTTTACTGTTCCTCAGCTTCAGCTCTTCCTTCAGTCTTGGTACACTCCACGTTTCATATCCGACCTCCATAGTGAGAGGCACTAAGATTTCAAAGCAAGGTTCGTGCAAGAACGATTCCTATAACTTTTACAACAATACAATTAAATATATGCTCAGATAATCGACTCCCCTTCCTCTCCTCACCCGCACAACTCGCTAGTCGCAGCCTATCAAAGCCTTGCGCGCCAGATTTGTAACAGCTGCGCCAAACGCCTTTGAGGCTTTGCTTAGCAGAGCCACCTGGTGGATTAGTTTCCCCTAGAACGCCCCATTGGCGTGAAACTCTGGCTAGCAGTTCTGCAGTTGGTGCAATTCTTGCACATCGCTCACACCAGCACATCGGGGAACATCAGTGCTCACTGCCATTACCGAATACCACTACCCCTTCCCTCGTCACCAAATACCGACGAGTGACGAGGCGCCGCAGCGTTTCCTGACCAAACATCAGCCGCTAATGACTGACCGTTGGTCAGGGCCCGTTGGTCAGTGCTCGTAAACACAGAGCAGCGTCCGACCAGACCCTGCTAGTGCTGGCCGCCCGGCAGTCTGCGGCATTTCGGGGCGATCTGCACTTGAACGGCTGCACCGAGCGGGCCTGCCAGTATGCCTTCTGCGACTAACGGGTCAGAGGTGGGCTAAAGGCAGACGCTTGAAGGAACGCGAATGAAAACGAAAGAAACACTGAAGTGAACGATACGCATCTGATACGCATGGTCGTCAGTGCAACAGGTAGATTTTCCTTACTAGCTTTATTTTGGCTGAGAGAATGTGTGTTTCGTCTATTCTAGCCCTCTGACTTAGAAATACGAAATGTGAAACGAATACAGCCGCAAATGTGTCGCTCTGAAGAAGCGCAGCCCAGTAACACGCCTCCATTCGACCGAAAGACATCCACTTAGCATCCAAAAGACGCCTGGCAGCTAACAGGGGGACATCAAACAGAACAGAGCTGACAGTGGTCCGTGACACTGAGGAGCCCCCAGGGACAGGCCAGTGGCACCACGCCTGACGCCACTATAGTACACAAAAACGAGCCGATACGAGACCAGGGGACGGGCAGTCAACATATAACAGCGACGACTGACGAACACTGCGGTATCAATATCATATAGGACCGATCAATTACCTAACTGAAGTTTAATGAGTGATAGACTAGGCGTGTGTCTAATGAATGACACATCACACACTTGTTTAGGAGACAGGTGACAGGCTGACAGGTGAACCCAATGGCAGCCTGTCACGTGACAGCGTCGGGCCATGTCGCAGACACCCACTATCAGAGTCCAAACACCGCCCGTTCTCCACGACAGCCTTTGGCCGCTGGGGAAGGTGCGATAAGGCCCCGAGTGGCACCGGTGGGCTGCCGAGACTATAACGAGCTGCAATGTTACCGACTAGAAGTGCGTCACTGTCCGAAGAGCTCAGCTAGCACCAGCTAATGAATGAAACAGATTGAGATATGAAACAGATTTGGGAGCACAAACCAGTAGATCAGTTGGGCAAACTAGACCTTTGGAATCAAAATATGGAGGCATCAAAAGATTGATTCCTTTTGGGCATAAATGCAGACCATTTCTAACTTACCAATCACATAAAAATAAGAGAGTGTTTCAAGAAGGAGCATGCCTGATCTTGAACAGAAATGCTTGAACTATCTCCTAAGCAAAATAATATTGCTCTTATCATAACAATTTAAATTCTATAGGTAGTGAAAGGCAATCAAGGAATTGATTCACTTTTAACAGATAATCATAATATTGATTCCCCATCAGCTGGCTAATCATTATTTTGATTCACAGGTAATGTTAACAGATAGGCAACAATGACTTGCAAGAATACAGCATTTATCTTGCTATTATTCTCATTTAGTGGTATCCTCAGCACCACAACTGATACCTATAGCATTGTTGTACTTTACCTTCACTACATTTGATAACAACTCAAAATTTTTAAATGTCAAGAATACAAAAACTGAAGCAACAGGTAAAAACCATATAAGTAATATAAAAGCACTACAACAATGATAATTAGGGGTTTAAAAATTTCATTTTGCCATTTTACACAAATACTGATTGGTTAGTAAGTGATTCATGATACAGAAATAACATACAGTGTGATTTCCTCAAAACAGCTTTTACGTGATGGACAGTGGCTCTGTCTTTTTCCCATTCACAAGGCCAAGGGGACAATTTCTTAGCTTTGAGGTAACACTTTTTGCAAACCTATCACATTTTTCTACCTTTTAAAAGAAAAATCTCACCGTCATGGGCCTTTTTTCAACCGTAACGATTCATTTGAAGTCAAAAGTGTACCCAAATGAATCAAAAAATTGATTCCATGCCCATATTTGGTCATGGCTCCTCCCACCAGAATCAAATTATTGATGCCTCCATATTTTGATTCCAAAAGTCTAGTTTGCCCAACTGAGATTGCACTGCCACTATCGCAATCGTGTATGCTGAACGAGATGCACGTTGTTTCAAAGTGTTCAGACTATAAACCGACGTCGCGACTTACCTACAAAAGTGTTTCCGTTTGAATCGTAGGCGATTCCTTGTAAAACTTCCGGTCCCGCACTGTACGATCACCAGTCCACGGGTGAATCCGAGTGATAAGTTCTCACCCCCACACTACACACTCGTCCGAATACGCTCTAACACACCCACACGTCCCTGCCAAAATCACCACGTAACCCACACACGCACGGCAATAACACACCCCACCCTCTCCGCTGGCAGCGGCCGGCCGTCTGAGCGCGTGCGGTAACCTCCCCTCGCGGCGGCGGTAAACGCTCCGCCTCGGCCGGCCGCGCATGCGCACTGGGCCCAGCCGGTAGCGGGAACTTTGAAGTCGGCGGCGAGCCGCGCGGGCATCCGGCGCAGTTCACGTATGCGTGCCCCCAAACAGACGCCGGTCACGGCGATAGTGAAGCCGGAAGCGAACTGAAACCGGAGACAGGGAGAGGGGACCGGACTGTGGAACCGGAAAACGTAATGTGGAGAGTGGAATTCGGAGGCGGAGTTGGCAGGCGTGGGAGCAGCAGCTGTCAGCAGGTGGGTGCTCTTTATTGAATGGGCCGCCGCCATACTGACTTCCGTTCAGGTCACTTTCCCTAATCCACAGAACTGCTCGACAATACCGGCGGTGCACTGTAAAAAAAGATTAGCATCCATGCTGCTAATTTGGTGCTAAATGGATTCTAGATTTAAGTAACTTCCCCATTTGTTGCTTACTTCAAGTACCCTGTGCTGCAAATCACATGATTGGTGCGCGAAGAAGTACCATGATGGCGCCAGCATGTAATGGTGCTGCTAAATTTGATTCTTGTTTTACAAGGTGATTGGCGCTAGCATCTGTTTATCTTTATGGCGCTGGTTATAGCACGCTTGCAGCTGGTGGTGCTGTTATTTAGTACTTAGGTGATTAAAATGAGCTTGCACTGTAAAAACCCATGTCAAAAACCAGCACCCTGTGCCTGCTTATTTTAAGCAGGCTAACTGGGTGCTAAATTTTAGCACCCTTTTCGAAAAATAGCTCCCTGTGCCGGCTTATTTTAAGCACCCTAAATGGTTGCAGCCATTTAGGGTGCTTAAAATAAGCCGGCACAGGGAGCTATTTTTCGAAAAAGGTGCTAAAATTTAGTACTCATTTAGCCTGCTTAAAATAAGCAGGTATAGGGTGCTGGTTTTTGACATGGGTGCTAAACTTTTTTTACAGTGTGAGGGGGGTTTGCGCGGGAAAAAGCGGACCCTTAAGTTGCTAATTTTCTCCGGGATTCGGCATTCGGCCATTTTGTGACCGCCATTGTGTCAGTTTGGACGCGGATGCAGGTGCACTGCGCTGAACTCTGGGTATATGTTGGTTTGGTTATGGCATACATATTTTTAAAACGTTTGTTTGAAGTCAATATGTTATAACTGTGAGTGTTCTGTAACATTGAAGTGAAGAAAAACAAAGCTTTTTGTGCAAACCGCCGGGGTCGAGCGCTGAGCGCAGCAGGTGGCCAGGAGGCAGGAGACATGGCCAGTCGGCCACCTACATATATCTCATGAGCATGAGCACTGACCTGGAAGCTCGCCAGAGTGATAGCGGAGGAGCCTATAGCGTGGCCGTGATGTGCACGTTAAAAGAAGTTCGGTGTGTATTTTCATTCTGCTATGATGGTTGGAAAAAGGTGAGATCGAGACGGGGCTTTTTCAGACGGCGTCTTTTATCAGCAAATGGCTGACGGGAGATGGCGTAAGGTGGCATAGCGCCCATGGGTACATTCGTTGTTAATGTTGACTAATACATCGTTGCACGTGCCCACTTGATGTTTGTTCTAAATCAAACGGTAGCGGTGGTACAGAAAAGACGTGCTCGCGCGCACACACACACAGACACGCGCGCGCGCATATAGTGAAATGCAGCAATTTACCCAAATTGAGCAGCAGCTGTTCTTTGAGTGGCAGCACTGGCGGTCGCAGCCGCTAGCAAAAGGGGGGGGGGGGCCAAAGTCACACTCGCGGGACATAACATTTCTCCGTCACCGGGAGGGGGGGGGGGGGTGATCGGCTAATTTTTTACGTCCACGAGGCGCCGCACAGTTGGCATTACTTATGCTTCATCCATCTCATTCTTGCGTGAAATCTTTGAGCTCAATTTAAGGCAAAATCACCAGTTCCATTTACCGTCTCACGGTGTGCCCACCGGTCGGGCCGCTGCACCATGACGACGGATCGGTGTAGCATAGGTATACTGGAAGGTCAGGCACGCGGATTCATGACCTTACCACTATAAAACAATTCGGAAAAGTACAGATAGGTAGGTACCTCTTGCTAAAAAGTACAGATACCTCTTGCTTTGAACAAGCATGTGAAACCCAGAGAGCATTTTTAGACTATGACATTTACCCATATAGGTACACTCGGGGGCAGATTGATGTTCTACAACTCTTTATCCACCGGGTTCCTACGGCTCAGCATTGGCAGCAGCCGCCTGGTACCGGTAGACTGTGCCGCTTCACTTACTTGTCAAGCGGCACAGCCTACCCACCCGTATGACACCGGTCTGGGTCGGTGGCTGGAGATAATGTGGGCCGCCTGTGACGTCAGCGCAGCGGTGAGGGCCGAGCCCGGAGGCA